AACATGTAGATTGGATTATCTAGTACCGCGAGAGAGACTTCTACAGATAAAAATAATTAAAAGAGACACTCTTTTGTACTTTTTATAGACCATTTTGTATTTCGCGTTAACATCGCGAATATTGAATATTGATCACATTTATTTAATTTGGAAATGTCGTTTAGGACTTCTAAAAGTGCAACCTCGACACTTTAGTGTATGCCAAAATGTTTTCATATACCATCAAATTTACGTGCAAAATAGTTACATAGAATTAGAGTTGATTTGCTGCAGTTCAGCCACTTGTACATAGTAGTTTGACGTTGTAGGTTGAAAGCTGAAATAAGCTTATAGTTAATTAATTTAAGATGTACTGGCGTTATAGCCAATTTTTTCGATTTTCAATAATCGTTATTTGCAAAGGTGCGAGAAGTCAAAGGGTTTTGGCGAAAATATTTCTCATTGGGTTTTTTCAATTGCAGTATGAAAATGCATCTATTTACACCGAATCCTGACATACAATCTGTACACTTCTATATTTTTTTATACTTCGAACTTCGCTTCATGTCCTTTATCTCGTGAAAGACTCGAAGAATAATGAAATTAATGATGAAACTTTCCTGTAAAGAAAAATTATGCAAAGATTTTTCTTGTACGGTCAATATGACAAATTATAAATGGAAAGTGCTGATTTTTTTTTTTTTTTTTTTAATGAATGACCCCAAGCGCGAGTATTATTTTTAACCCAACTTCTCGTATTTGACTCTTTGCTATTCAAAAACGGTTCTTCGCTGATAGCATTAGACCATAAGATCAACTCGGAAAGGAAACTCGACGATGTACCTCGCAAAAATTCCGTTCTCGGCGGAGACGGAAGCCTTCTCTCGCTTAAATAAATCCTTGCTTCGTCGTATTTTTTACTTGCACGTGTATCCGACCTGTGAGTTCTCTCGATCGTGCCAAATAATACCAATTTAATGTACTTTTATGACTGAGGTTGGCTATTCAGCCACATTTATGTAATGCAAATAGAAACGAAGTCGACGTCACATTGTCGGCCTTACATTTAAAAAATATATTTCTCCTAGTTCTTCCTATTCCTTTTTCTGTTTCAACTTTTTTTTTTTAATAAATTGATTAGGTTTTTCTATAGGTAAGAACCTTTACTTTCAATATATATATATATATATATATATATATATATATATATATATATATATATGTATATAGCTATACATAGTTTCTTATAATAGAGTGATAGACTATATTTATATATATTTTCAATAAAGGTCCTTGCTTAGAGAGAAAGAAAAAGTAACTTGATTGGCGGATCGTGATGGTGTTTTGTTTTTTCTTCCATTCTATAGTTCTTTTATCCTTTTTGTTCTCTTATCTCTCGAAGACTTTTTCTCGAACCATTTTTCATTCTCTCAGACGCGTTTGAGACGACAGCTCAGAAATTAAGCCCAGCTCTAGACTTCGTAAAAAGCAAAAAAAAATCATCTTTTCCATTTTTATACGCAAAGTTGTTAAGATACATATATAAACGACTGTTATAGATATAGTTAATGGAAATAGTTGTTTTGAACTAATGTAATTACATAATATAGATTAGGTAAATTAGATAATTTTTATAAACATGTACATGTACATTAAATAAATGCAAGATTTCTTGATTGTCGTCTCGAACTCATGATTCTTTTTTTACAGAAATATGGCATGCTTATAAATTTCAAGCGAATTGTGTTTCGTTAATGTAGCAAATGATGTAATAGTGAAATATAAATCGCTGGATTTTGTATCGGCCATTAAAAATCGCGCGAAAGGAAGAAATATTACATATGTATATATTATATAAAGGAAAAAAAGTTGTATAACACAATATTTTTACGAATATAGGTATTTATAGTACAATCCTCGCTGTTCTTTTTCTTTTCTTTTGCGAAGTCTCGAATTTATATCTTTCATCTTCTTGTTAAGTTTGTTACCATATAATTATATGAATAAGGAATTATTGTTTCTATTATCATGCTACAAATTTATGTATATAGATTTTTTTGCGAACAATTTATATAGATATATTAATTTGTGGCATAGTAGAAACAATAATTGTAGAAAAATCTTATTGTAGACAATTTGAAACAAACACCTCGCATCCGTCAAGAGTACACACGTACCTGCTATTACGTTAAGAATTAAAAATTAATAATAATAGCTAATATATGAAAGATTAGCTTTTATAAACGACTTATGTCGCAACTATCTAGCTTTAAAAATGTAAAAATAAATAAGGGGAGCTATTAAAATAAATGTATTATAAACGATAAGCGCAAAATTATATGGGCTTGCCTCGCTCCTTTCCATCCACACACAAACTTTCTTCGATAGATATTTTTGTCAACAAGAGAGCTCTACGAGCTCAGAAATTCATGTTTTCTTTCCCTCATTTTCATTTTCCTCATACGGCACCGGAGTGAGGCTCGCTGTGAATGTGAGTGTATACAGGACGTTTCATTTCGTTTAAAGAATATCTTCCAATGTATCGTAGATGAGAAAAGTTTGATTTCGAAAACGTAATACACAGATGATTTTTTTTAGATCGATACTTAATGATTTGTTTGCTTTTTTTTTCAAGATTTTTAAATATATACTCCGAAATACGGAATGTGAGTGTCCTGTATATGAATGTATTGCCCATTTCCGTCGAGCTCATATCTATTTGTCACAAGCAATTCGCTTTTCGTTGTTGGATTTTAATCGGCGATGTTTATGAAATACAGTAGAGACCTGATGAGAGATAAAGGCACCGATTCCCCAGGTGTGACCGGGATTTAATTTCGCCAACTACAATCACGTGGAAATAAGTACGACGTGTACCTAACGATTGTTCACACGAGAGTTATATGTATGAAAAGAAGGATCGAGAGATATATAGTTGAGATGATATAGTGTAGGTGAGATATACAGCTGAGACTTTGAAGTTTGAAAAGACACTGCGGAAATAACAAGAAGTTGTGGCGAGAAGCTTGATGGAAGTGGGATATAGTGATATTGAGAAGTTATATTTTATGTAACTTAGATTTTTTATTCAGAGGAAGAAAAGATATTTTTTATTTATCTTCTTTATTTTTATATACGACGTTGCTACCGAAAATCATTTCTCATGATAATTGAACGAGAAATTTGTAACGGTCAAAGTATATACTGTTACACAGATATGATAAAGGTACTTTTGCCGCAATAATACAGAGATAAATAAGAATTGTACCGATTATATAACTAAGCTTACATAAAATAAACTAGATAAAACAAAACTAGACATTAATATGAATTATACATATATATATATTACGTATGTATAAAGTTTTATATATATAAAACGGCATGTGTAAGACAACAACTGCGATATACAGTAGATAGAATCTCTTATTTTTACAAGAAAATCAAATTTAGAAAACAAAAAAAGGACATGAAAATATTCATTTTGATTATTTGTACGTGACGAATTATATACAAATAAATAATTTCATCAATAATAGAAATGAGCTTTTTAATGACGATTTCCTATTTCGAATCCTTACTTTCCACATTGTTCATGTCACGTTCTTGTATTTTTTCGCGACGCATTGTACACTGAAAAAAAAATTGTTATTCCGAAAAAATACTTACAATCAGTCCGATACGTTTAACTAAACTTTTAGTTATTTTAATTAAACATTAGTTGAATTAATTAATTCTTGATTTAAAAAGCTAAATAAATTGTTCAAACAATTAATGTTTAGTTAACTAACTAAAATGTTTAGTTGAACGTATCGGACTAAATATTTTTTCGGATTAACAAATTTTCTTTATATATAAGATTACGTAAAAAAAATTTGTAATTTTAGAATAACTTTTTTATATCTGCGATTGTGATTTTGTCATAATGTGTTTATCGACCCTATTAATAAAGGATATTATTTGCAAATATTGTTTCATTGCTTGCGTAAGTTTGAAATATCGTCCGAGCACAGAGACGAAGCAACGATGCGCTTCAAGTTCATTGTACCTCGAAGATTGTTAAATTTATATACAAATAAACGATTTCATCAATGATAGAAACGAGCTTCTTAATGACGATTTCCTATTTCGAATCCTTGTAATCGGATAGGATTAGAGAACCTCTAATGCCCGGTTTCTTCACCGTCGGATAACTTTATCCTTAGGATAAATTCATCTCTTCATCTCTTTCTAACCTAACTCTTAGAAAGAGATGAAGAGTGAATTTAACCTAAGGATAAAGTTATCTAACAGTGAAGAAACCGGGCATAAGAGAGTGTTTTATTTTTCTTTAACTTTAGAAGGCTTATAAGCAGGGAAGTACTTCCGGACCTATGTTCACAGGAACTTTTTTCTTTAAAATTATCCAAGGAATCGTTTCTTGGAGTTTTCGACATCACTTAGGAATAGGAAACACCCTGTATAAATATGTGCATTACACAGATTTCTATATACCACTAGACTGCTACCTCTGTAGCCAGAACTAGAGGCAAAGTAGAGGGCATATCGATGACCAACTCGGTGTTTCATTGGCATGTAGACGCAAACGCTTCTCAAGAGAACGTATCTTTTCAGATATGGAGAATAATGGAGAAAAAAGATTTGCTACTATAGCAAATCTACTCGTTAAATATGGGCTAACTAACTTTTTTTTGCAGCGAGAGCTATTAATTTTGCAATAATAGCAAAACCTTTTGTTGCAATAGCAAAAAGTTTTGCTGAACTTTCGTTACTTAGTAATAATTTCAAAAAGATTTTGCTACTATAGCTCTCGCAGCAAAAAATGTTAGTTAGCCCTATAATAGCAAATCCTTTTTCTCCGTGTGGTAGTTTAGTTTTCTTTCTTAAGAAAGGGGTCAGACAAGTTCCTTTTGACATGCATTTATATTTTGAATATCTTACACGAATAAAATATATCCATTTAATTCCCGTGTTTTTCTTCTCCTCTTCATTGTACCTGTCTCTGCATGTTCCGAAATAAACATTATTAGTTACTGCTTCAATAAGAAAATTCTGTATGGCGAAGAAGTACATGCTGTCGATATATAGCCTTGAAGATATACAAAATGGCATATAAGACCATCTTACAACTGCGATATACATACATGCAGATAGAATCTCTTATTTTTACAAGAAAAGCAATTTGGAAAACACAAAGGACATGAAAATATTCGTTTTGATCATTTGTACGTTCACAATGTTTATAATGAAAATATATGTAACATTGCGAAGAATTTTATAATTTTTGAATAAACTTCTTTTATATCTGCGATTAAATTTTGTGATTTTGTCATAATGTGTTATGTTTGTCGACCCTATTAATAAAGATATTAGTTTGCATCACGCTTCGTCGCGCTGTGTTACATTGTGTTACATTCGCACTGCACCCACTGTGTGGGCCGCGCTATACGTTACGTTACATCGCATACAAATTTGCATGGCACTCGGCCTCGGCACTTGCGCTTATGTTGACGGCATTACGTTAAACAAAAAGATCGAAACGCCAATATTCACCTCACCCCGCTCGCCTTCGCGTCCACGTTGCGTTTCATTACGCGCGCGTCGCATTCGCATCACATTTTCCGTTACGTCGGCATTACGTCGGCATTCCGCTTCGCACCGAGCTTATGCCTCGCATTGAATTACGTCGGCGTTGCATTACACGCTGACGGCGGTCGCATTCACGTTTCACTGACGTTAATTCGTGTTCTTATCAATCGTCAATTTAACGCGAGCGCGGGGTTGCGTCCGTCGAGTGTAAACTTCTTGCGTGAACGCTTGCGCAATATCATGAAAAAAAAAACCCATTAATCTCCCTACTCGCGAGTATACCGCGTTTCGTATATGTTCGACTTTTCTTCTGCCAACTGTCGTCAAATTCGTGTATACCGCGTAATTATACCTATATTATGTCCATTGTACAGCAAGATATATGCAATAATTAATATGGTAATTTAATTGTCGCCATTGTTGTAGAGAATACAATAACGCGGTGCAGAGAAAGTTTAGTTCATCTAGGCGTTTAATTATCTGTCACCGATCGTGGATATTTTCGCTTGAATGTCTCACTATATATACTGTCATTATGACGCGCTGTTTGCGAATATATATGCTTTACTGATATCAAACAAAAATATATAGGTACTCTCATAAAATTTAAACTTTGAATGAACTCCTGGTTTTGCGCCAAAAAATATTGAACTCGCCATTAGAAGAATTACTTAAATGCCGGCGGAGATTTAATGTTTATTTTTATCAAAAGTGATTATTTCATTTAACAAATGCAATAGCAAATCGATAAAGAAACGTGACTTACACAAATGCGTGTGTAAACGATACATAACCTTTATACTTTAATACTTTTATAATTAGACAATTAATTTCATAGCTATGTATATAAAATTCTTTTGGAAAAAGATTATTTAGTTGAAAACACTGATAAATTTTGACATATAAATAATATGGCTTTTTAAATATATTTTATTATTTGAAAATTAGAGTAACGAGAATTAATAGAAAAATGCTATCACAATGTAATCTTTGTCGACATGCTTCATATGTGATTTGTCAGTGCTTAATTAACACAGCCGTTTAATGGATTGAAAATAATTGTGTCACGCAGAACAAATACTGTCCTGCATTTGAATATTCTATCTCTCACACAATAATGAGTATTCATTACATATTATACATATAATACATATAATGGAGTATTAATTACATATTATACATATATGAATTTCACATCGTGACATTGTTCGCTCACGTGAAACGTAATAAAGCGAATTATACGTTAAAATTGCGTTATTATGCTTCAGGTTACATGTAAAATACTCATTTGTGAGAGAATATGTTAAAAAATTAATAAAAGATTAAAACAAAAAGAATTATGTTTAAAAAGCTGTAATAATATTTTTGCTAATTTAAGACGATAAAGAGAATGAAATTGATTGCTCGTTAAAAATATTTTTGCGCTGTTAGTAATTTCTTTATTTATCATTTCAAATACTATATCGTATTAATGATTAATTTGAAGATTGTAAATTGGAAAAAAATTCTTACCGATAACACAGTGACATCATTTACACTATAAGTATACTGAGACCTTATTACACTACTTGCACTATTCATTGATGGAAATGAGTATCATTGGCGCCATTGATATTTCCGCGAGTCTAGTGAAATGTAGGCTTTGAATCGCGCAATCATTTAACTCGAGAATGACGTTCGTTGGATTCGACACACGTGTCGGGATGCGCACACATGGATTGCACCACACACGAATATCCAGTTGTTTGCATCGTTTCGCACGTGATTCCGCCTTTGCTAGTTTCAAATGTAATCATACGAACGCATATAGAACGATAAACACCGCTTTGTTTAGCATGGATTTATTACGAATAATGAGGAGAGTTCTCACGTCTATATGAGCGGAATGGCCGACTTCCGTATCATATCATAAGGTAAGTGATATATTTCTTCAACACGATATCGATTTTCTCGAAAATGTTAAGACAACAAAAGCTCTTCAAACTTTATTAATTTAGATGTCAAAGATGTGTAAATAAATAATACATAAAATCTTATTCGTTTTACTTAAGTTGAGATTCTTTTAAACAAAATTTCTTATCGTTAAATATAGAAATATATATATATTTAGATATAAAGTTTGAATTTTGATTTTAGAAGATTAAATGCTCGATCAAATTCTTCTGAAGAAGGAATTCAAAAATTTGTTGAAAAAGATTTTTTTAAAATGATTACTATACGTCAACGCGTATGTAAATGTTTAATTTAGTCTCGCAGATACATTAACGCGTGAAGTAATACACGTCAAAGCCAAATTGGAGAAGAGGCGATGCCAGTTGTTATATTTAGAATTTCATTAACTTAGGTCATGTCATATCCGCGAATTCATTATCCTTGAAAGCTTAAGATTGGAATACTGCAGAATAGAAGTCTATTAAAAATCAAACTGTCGTATGCGGGTATGCCCCAGGTGTTCACAAATACCTACACGAAATTGCATCAGCCTTTGGATCAAGTTTTGAGCGCGATTTATACACCGACTTGCAACAGTCTCGCAGAAGTTGCTCATTGTTATAGGTATATTATTCAACATATCGATAATATTTCTCACGCAGGTCCCGGTTTTATTTTGTCAATATAGCACACATATCGCGGAAGGCCACCTGAGATTTAATTATTTATTACGTCACGGGTAGATGCTATTTGTAGAGATCGTTGCGTCATCTTATCGTAACGTGCCTATCACAAAGAGTTATACATGGAATAAGTAGTAAGTAATATATAGATATATGCGAAAAGAGTTATATATAGATATATGCACAAAGAGTTATACATGGAATAAGTAGTAAGTAATATATAGATATATGCGAAAAGTTTACGTAAGCTTTGGACTCATTGTTTCAAGTACAGTTAGAGAAACTGGACACAAAAGTTTTAGAAATTTTCTTCGCACATATATATTGAAACGTTGCAGAATACATATTTTATCTAATTATTGATAGATTTTCCATACAAAATTCTTTCTAACAGGTAAGATATTCTATTCCTCATTCTCTAAGTCGCGTTTACGAAAAGAAATAACATCTCTTTGCTTATTATATTCTCCTGGTATTTTTTTTACTTTCATGAATTTAAATTTTCACATTGAATAAATCAACACATTTTAAAAATATTATATATATGTATTTCTGATAATTTCACAAAACACCTTCGATATTTTAGGCGACTCTTTTGAGGCAACCTTAAGACGTCATATTATTCTCTGGTGTGATTATTTTTTATATCCATAATTACATAATTACATAATTTAATATACAAAATTATAAATAAGACGTAAAGTTACAGATGAAGTTATGAGTTATAATTCCAGATCGCTTACGACGAACTTACGCACGCAGCCCGGACGAGAGACTCAAGGGAACCGTCTTCCTCGTCGTCGTTCTCGCTCTCCATTGTTTTGAAATCTAGCGCGCGGTCCGCGTTCCGCCGTTTCGCCACGCGTGCACAGCGGATCGTGCGGGCTGCGGGCTGCGGGCGCTCTCGTGAGCGGCAGCGTAGCGCATGCGCTCAGTACCGCGTTTACGATGGTCGATCGCAACGAGGTAGCGATGTCGCGTGTGCCAATTTTGGTGATCCTAGGTGCCACCGGGTCCGGAAAATCGCGGCTGAGCATCGAGCTGGCGCGCCGTTTCAGCGGGGAGATCATCTCGGCCGACAGCATGCAGGTGAGTCGCAATTACGCCCGATTCCCGACGCGGCAGCGCGACGACGAGGTTAGGTCAGGCCCCCGCGGGGCACGATTTTCAAACTTGTTCGTCGTCCGCGAGGAAACTCGCGAGAGACGGAGGCCGGGAATGCGCCGTTTTTCCCCGGGAAAACGTCCGTCCGAATAATTTGCGCCGGACTCGCCGGTAAACTCGGGGAAGAGTCAGGTATTCCTCAATTGAACGTAAACGTGTGCGCGACGACCGCGTGGCGGAAGTGCTCCAATATTGTATATAGGAACGAGCGCGCGCGGTGATCGCGATAAAACTGAATTGCGCGATCAATGTGTTCCCCGGCGCGGGCGTCGACGTTGACGCGGAAGCGCTCGCTTCGACGACGCTATCGATGAAAGCGTAATTTTCTAAGAACACATCAATAACGATTATTGCGAAATTATATCTTTCATATATATAAATTATATTCTTTATAAATAAAATCTCGTTACGGACGGATTGAACGAATTAATATTTTCGCCAATTAAATCCTGTATTCAACGTGAAGTCCCATTCACGTATGGATATTGATTTTTCAACTTTCTCTAATTTTTTTTTTCTTTTCGTTACGTTCTCGTTTATCGAAATCGCGACGTCATGAGATGTTTGCGTACTCGAAAGTGAAATCCGTCCGTCTGTAATGGCAGTATTTAAATCTGCCTGCTCGTAATGCTGACTTTTAAATTCATCTGACGAGGCACTTGGTTAGAGCGATTCAATGCGTGAGAAAAGAACAGCGCCTCCTCTCACCTTCTCTTTCTTGTTTTCACACATTCTCTCTTTCTCTCTCTCTTTCTCTTTCTGTTACGAATGCAAATCATAGTTTGACGTCAACGACATGCTACATACATAGAGCGTTGATAAGGCACGCACGTGAGAACACTCCTAAGCGGTGTTTGTATTTCCCCGAAGTCATTATAGCTATTATCAATCTCGTGAGAATGCCAGATGATACGTTATTGTTATCGCCGTAATAATCGATGTCATTGTTATCGTTAGCGTCTTGACGTCTTCGCTGCGACGACCGAGTGTCTTCTCCCTGTTGTTCCGCGAAGCCGCGGGTCACACAGGTCCGCCACGCGTGGAGCACACACGCTCGTGGCCCATAAATTAGTAACCGCTTTAATTGTCGCGCACGTCGGAGGCGCGTCCGGTAATCTAATCGCATGGCGGCCTTGACACGAGGATCAGCCGCGCCGCGATCGTGATGTAAATCGAATTCCGTATTTCCAGCGGGCCTGCCGGAGAAAACCCGTTGACTTCCGGTCGAACAAACTTCCGGCGAATTAATATCGTGACACTTTTTATCGAATGGTCAAAGATCAGTCTTTCTTATATTACATATCTTCTTAAACAAATTGGCTTTCTTCTGTTTTTATTGAAGGTTTTTTTTTATTGAGAGGCATTAACATTCCTTCTTTTTGCTTCTCATATATAACTTATCTGATATGTTTCAAAAGATTGAAGCTAGTTTATTCTTTTATTGTGACGAAGCAAGGGAATCGCAGATAGAATTCATATGAGAATGCGCACGGAAATCACTGTATGAAGAATTAAACTTTCGAAGAAAACAATTAGCGTGTGTTTCAATACTTCATATGTCCAATAATGTTTTCGTAATGCGAATTAATATTCACTTCTAATTGGAATAATTATTTGATATGCGAAAAGTTAACTTATGCAGATTGTTTCCTGTCCTATATTTTATATTCAATTTTTAAACACTCGTATTTTGAAAAAATCAAGTTGACGTCATAAAATTCAGTTAAGTAAATGAAAAAGGAGTTAAGAGGCGAGTAAGAAGAAGTTAACTTTTGTTTCTAAGATTAACTTTAAGCAATGCGATAAGAAATTAATTGTAAATTGAAACATTTTGAATTATCCACGAGTATATCGCTAACATTTAGTCATTTTTTAGTAGAAATAAGTGTCTAATCATTTTCCTAAATTTTTACACGCGTTCTCTAGTTTCTTGCACAATAAACGAACAATTAGAGAAATATCTAACATGATTTTGCTAATAAAAAATTTCTCTGAGTAATTGGTTCGACTCAAATATTCTTTTTTGACAGATTTAATTGCTTTTTTAAGTTTTACAGCGATCTGACTTTGATACTCGAGATCATCCCCGTCTTTCCCGTTGCAGTTTCGTACGCGAGGAAGCTCATTCGTCTCGGGGTCTGCCGGCGAGTTCTTGCGCGCGCGTGCCCGTTTATTTCGGTTGCTTTTTCACACGGAGCGTATCGGCTCCAATTTCGTTTCCCGCTCGTGGCCACGCGTGACTTCACTCGCGTGCATAAATCGTTCCCTGACGGTCACGGCGCGACGCCCACGCACGCGCGTGCCGGAGGAAAAAAAAGAGATATTCAGAAACTTCCGCCCTCGCGGACCCGAACATCAAACGACGGCGTCCTCGCTTGGGAAATCGCGATCAGTGCCGGGATTGTTCGTCCTCGCGACGAGCGAATCCTCCGGGGACGTATCGCTCGCACGACCAGACGGAGATGTTCTTAGTCTTTTGCTTAAGCCTTACGCGCCAGACCACAGAACGTTTTCTCATTAAGATATTCGTTCACTGAGTTTTTGCTCAAGAAAGTTCAGCTGTTCTAAATTGATTGAAGATTCCGCTGTGAAAGTCTGATATGTTAAATACTGATCATTCTGCGAGTAAAAAATTTAATTATAATATGCAGCAGCTTATTTTCTTTCTATTAAAGATGTAATATCGAGAACATATATTGAATTGAATAGTTGAGAGACGATAAGTAGGGAAAAATCTAAAATGAAATTTTTTGTTAGATTTTGTTATTCTTATTAGATATCTTTTTCTTAAGTGCTTCAAATTCTCTGAAAAATTAAAATTCATTATTTGCTTTTAATTTCCTATTTAAAAAAAAAATGCAATTAAGTGCAGATGTAAATTATGTTAAAAAGGAATCGTAGTTTGACTAGAATATTATTCTATTTTTTGTGAGATTATTTAGCAAATAAACATTTTATTTATATGGAATATCAGAACGTCTAGAAACGTAATTTGTCTAAAAACTATAATTAAACGGAAGGACATATATCGAAAGTTTCTCTTTTAGCAAAACGTTAAATCGATTTCTGAAATATTCAGCGCGTAGAACTTTAATATTGCCGTTAAGAAGGCGTACTGGAATTCCGCCGGAAGACTGCGAGTGATTCTCTTATGATCTATTAAGATGATCCGCTACATTTTTTATGAGCGAGTGAAGAACCGCAGTTTCCAATAGTTCGTAAGAATTTCACGAGATTTTATTAGAGCCCATATTTCAACTGTTCTGGAAATCATAAAAGTAAGTGACGATATAAAATCGTAGATTTAAAAAAGAATAAAAAATTCTCTGTAAAATTTGGAGCGTTTCGTTAAAGAAATGTCTTCGCTTAAGAATTATATTTTCTGAAATGGATATGACCGAGATATTCTAATTTGAATATAAAAAGTAGCTGTTCTAGAACAGGATTATGCGATAATCGCATAACTAATTTTGCGCGTCGTGTACGAGATTAATTACGAGCTGTAATTACATACAGAAATGGGTAATTATCTCATTTCGTGCACGAATGCTCCCATTCCTTTTGGCAATGCCGATACGTGCATTTTGTTACCGTACATATATCGTTTATACGTATATATTACACGCATTGATACCGTATATGTAACTGCGAGTTATGTAGGTTACAATCGGCACACTTGATACACGGTTTGAGAAAGTGAACGTTTAGGCGCGAGACCTTTCATCAAGAAATACGCCGGGGGAGTACGCTGACGTTCGGCTGTACATATGAAAGCGGCATGAAAGTATAATTAGTTTATAATTCTGTGTAACGAACTGCGCGGTCGAAAGGGTAATTGCGCGCGATTACAAATTTAACGCGAGGATTCGTCTCGCGACGCGCTCCGTCCGCGCGCTTCGCGAGAGCCGGATTGCGTAAAAACTTCGGCGACGTGTGCCGATCGTAATAAGTAGAGTCCTCCTTGCACAGCGAAATGCAAAGTTGTCCGAGGTATTATTCCGAGGGATCGACGAGGCTGCCTCCTGCCTCGTATCACGCGAATATACCCGGGGCTGAGAATAATAGGCGTTAAAAGTGACGTATTCTCACGGATACGCGCCGTTAATCCCGCAATACCGGGGCGTTCAAAGGCGTGCGATAGCGGCTGAAATTCGTTGATACTTTATCGCGGCACTGATCCGCGGAAGGCAATGTACCTTGGTCCTTGAATTCAAAATAGTACTCGCCGTCTCCGGCAAACCGGCTGCGTGCCACGCATGGAAACTTTCATTTTAATTTATGCGACTAGAGTATACCTGCGAGAGCAGCAGAATTTGCTTCATTCCATTAGGATGTTACTTTCATTATTGCACAAATGAGATAATTGCGATCACGCAATTATTAATTAGAAATCAGGATTTATCTTTATCTCGTAATCTTTTCATTTGTTTTGCGCAGAGTATTTAAATTAATGTTGTATAAGTAAAATGTCCGCAATGAACATATGTAATGACGTTTTCTATGCATATATTAAATATACGAAAATACAATGGCAGTAACAAAACTATTTATGCAAAACTAATATTATATAATGTTGTATAATGCAAATTTGTGTGTTAATTAAAATTCCGATACAATAAACGGCTTCATAATTTTAAGGGGATATCGAATTGAAACCGGATGTAAATTTAAGAAAAACAGGGCGCCGTTTCTCTCGCGAAAACCATCTTTGACAGCAATTGTCCGCACAGAAATATAATAATTGGCGCAATCGAATGCACTTTGATAGCTGCGACAGTGTGCATTATGACCGACGAAAATCGTGATAAAACTCGTGAGTTATAGTTGGTTATATAGCAGGCCCCCCCAACCGGTTTTAAATCCACGGCGACGCGATGACGCGAGATTTACGGGGCTCTTTTGTCGACGCGGATGCCTCGGGACGC